CAAAAACTTTATCACAAATTCATCTTAGGCAAGCCTGGAAAATTAAATATAACTGAATTAAAAGAATTTGGAGACATAAAAGCTCATACGCATTTTTGAGATGAATATGATAGATTGATTTTATCAGAGGGGGGTGATATTTTTATGAAGCCCACTGATAGAAAAACTGATAAAAGAGGCATATATGGTAAAAATAATAAATTAGACGACTAAGATACATTCTAACCTCATGTTATTAAACAAAGTAAAACTACTCCTAGTGTAAAACAACATTGCTTTAATAAGGGATAAAAAAAACACTAATGGTCTAAGTTTATAGATGATTAGGCTTCAAACACGTCAAAAAGTAATAATTAGTTTGATTAATATCAATTCAAATGAGGGACACTTACCACAAGTTAACGTAGGATGTGATGATATGTGTTTAGGAGAAGGAATGGTGAGAAATGAGAACATTCAATGGAATACTACGGCAATAAAGACGAATAACGATAATGTTATGATTGAAATAGATCCAAGATAAATTTTACTCTTCGGATACGTTGCACCTGAGTTTGATCCTGATACTAGTAGCAAATATAAGTGACCATTTATCAAACACAAACAAGATAGAATAAGAGACCTAAAGGGCTTGTGCGTACTGGTCACTGAAATCTGGAAAAACGAGACTGAATTTATCGACTGATTTCCGAACGTCCAGAAATCTTCTTGTAACCGGGAGACCCTTTACCCTGTATCAATCTTGTTGCACATAGAATCCCGACGGAAAATAATATCCCTACTTACACTGAACAATATCGACATCCACTAATACAAAGAAAAGTTTTAGAAAATCACGTGGCAAAAAAACTTAACGATGAAATAAATGAGATTTTGTCATCACCGTGTACTTCACCTCCCGAGATTGTTCCAAAAAAACATGATAGCCATGGAAATACAAGATAAAGGGTAGTAATTGATAACCGAGAACTAAATGAAAAGACTATTGAGGATGCGTCTCAACTGCTTAACATTTTAAATATTATGAATCAGTTGCCAACCCAAAGGGAAATGAATGCCCAAAGGCCTAAAAATCGCACCTGCCACATGCCAACGACTAATGAATTTCATATTTAGAGGTTGATTGAATGTTGAAACGTAAGTTTATTTAGATGATATTATTATTCGCGCAAAAGATCTAATAGACAATTATCATAAAGTTAGGTTACTTTTTGACTGGTTGAGATCGGCAAGTATAGTACTCCAGCCAGGTAAAATTGAGTTTTTGCTAAAAGAAGAAATATTTCTTGGGCATATAGTAATTCAACAAGGAATTGAACTGAACCCTAAGAAGATACAAGCTGTTGGAAAGACTCCTTAACTGAAATCTATGAAAAATATTAGACAGTTCTTAGGACTAGCAGGATACTAGAGATGTTTCATTACAGATTTTTCGAAAATAGCTAAGCCATTATCATATTTTAAAAAAAAGAATGAAAAGTTTAAGCCGACTAAAGTGCAAGAAAAGAGTTTTCAAATACTAAAAGACCATCTTTGTCAAGACGCTAATTTACAATTTTCCAAATTTAGTAAATCATTTAAGTTGACAACAGATGCATCTGACTACGCTATTAGAGCGGTATTAAGTCAAGAAAAAGATGGGTTTGGCTATGCTGTCACCTATCTTCCAAGAACTCTAAATAAAGCCGAAATAAACTATTTTAGGACTATAAAAGAATGCTTAGCTGCACTATACGCAATGCATCATTTTCGTTCGTTACTAGAAAATAAATTCATTGTAGTAGCTGATAATGAGACATTGAATTGGATACATACCAAAAAAACCAAGGGCAGCGTTTAATGCACTGAATGTTTAAATTCACTTATTATGAATACACTTTCAAATACAGGCAAAAAAACTCAATACCAAGGCTGATGGATTATCTAGAAACCCAGTCAGACAATTTCTGTATGTGAAAAACAAAATAAATAATGGATTATTAAATATTTCTACAATTACCATTATTGACAGTTATGATGATGGGTCCGAAGAAAATAGAGAAAAAAAGGAAAACAGAATAACAAACTCAGAGAAAAGGAATAGTAAGAACATCCAATTAAACGACTATCAAACCTAAGGCATTGCCAACAATCTTAAAGAAAACAGAGAAAGTAACAAGACCTAGAAGCACAACCAAATCAGGAACAAATGTACCTCAATTGACTAGGGGCCCAGGACGACTTTTAGATTCAAAAACAAACAAGAAACAGCCAAACTCACATCATAGTGTTATTGCTCAAAGAACTTCAACGAAAAAATTTCTAAAACCATAGACATAGGTGATCCTACATCTCAACCGAGTACATTAAAAAATGTCACTAAAACTACATCACAAGATTTTAGCTCATTGAAAGTGATTTTTTTAGAATCAGTCGCCTCAACATCACAAGCTAGCGCAGAGTAGTCGAGTTTGGTCCCAGCCATTAAGATTTTTTAATCCTGTAGCCGAATTTGGTCCCGGTTATTATGTCTCGGTGGAAAGTTTGGTCCTGGTTATCAAACAGTCATGGCGAGTTTGGTCCCGGTGCTCAAAGCTTGGTGTCGAGTTTGGCCCCAATACGTATGACTAAANCCAGATATTATAAAGTTGTCCTGACGAAAGTGAGTCTCAGCCCCCCGCTCCACCCCGCTATTCCTTAGCTCCCCCTCGATTCATATAGGCATTTGCTTGTTTATACATCATTTTTGATCAAATTATATTTGATTTACCTTCCCCCCGGTCCCCTCTGTTTATTCTCTCCCTCTTGCTCACTATGTGTCTCTGAAAAACCATTATTTGTTTAACTTGATCGAACTTTTACATTTGGAATTTCTTTCTGGTCCATGTGTACTTTACGCAAATATAAAATTCTTTATTAACTGAGAACTTTATTTACAAAAAAAAAAAAAAAAAAAAAAAGAAGGAGGTTATCCATAGACAAACACAATTAAGCTTTTGAAACAATAGTTCATTCTGTCAATATAATGTTGTGACATTTTATGTATCGTTGTAACCCATCTGTTCTTTTAAAACCCTTTCCACATTTTCCACATATTTTTTTTCTATGGTTTTTATGAATAAATCTATGTCTGTTTAAATGTGATGATCTTTAAAGTTACATATTTTTGAATTACTGAAAAATTTCTTGCTAAACAATATTTTCAATTTTCGATTTATTCTCAGATTGAATTTAAATAAAAATTCTTTTTGGATTCTTACACCTTAATAAAGCAACGTATATTTGTCCGTGAGAGAATACAGGTTTCTTAATATACAATCCTAAGGAGTCAAAACTCTGTCCTTGTGATTTGTTGATAAACATAGAAAACGATAACACAAACGGAAACTGTTTTCTATAGAAGACAAAAGGTAATGATGATGAGGTGCCAGTATTTAATGTTATTCCAGGAATATAAACTGTGCTTTCTTTTTTTTTCCGATATTATTTCTGCTTTTATATTATACTTGAATAATTTTGTTATTTTTAATATTGTGCAATTGCAGAGATCGTCTGATATACTTAAATTTTTTATTAACATTACTATAGCATTTATTTTTAATTCTAATTCGTGTAGTAGAGGACTTTTTTTGATATTATTTCAAAAATTCTATTAGAAAATCAATATTTATGTTATCATCTGTTTTATTTACTCCTTAATGAGTCGTGTATTCTGCTGTTGTGAACTCATTCTCAGCCTGCATTGATAATTACACGAGTAATGTCGTTATTTTGTCTATTCAATCTGTTAGAGGGGGGTTGGCGCCCGGAGCACGCAGGGGGGCGTCAGCCCTACTAGTATATATCTTGCGAGTCTCTAGAGTACAGAACTCTGATTTGAGGGGAATCCTGTCCCATCTGGTGTAACTGGTTAAAGCTCATTTCTATAATTAGTCCTGTTACCTTGTTTAGTTCCCTGTAGTTTTTAATTTTGTAACATCTAGTTACTTTTAAAATTTGCGAACTGTACATTACTTTGCGAAGTAACAAATAACTACATTTGCTACTCTATAAAGTTGTAAATCTATATCAAAACTTGCTTACTTCCTACAAATCTATATTTGCTCATCTATTGGTCGTAGTTTTAATGCATGCTTGCATGTCACTGCTAGGCATTATGGCAACAGTGAATCTAGCAAGTTATTGATTCAAATTGCTGATAATTATACTTGTATTACATTACGTGTATCAATTACCTTCAGGCTTGTAGTTATAACACAAACACTCATGGATTGTATTGTATTGTGTCAAAATTTCTTAGATGAATGGTATAAAAAATAATCTTTTAATACATGTATAAATGCGGATAAAGAGACTATGACCTCCTTATAATATTTTTTTATTACCAATTGCCTGACAAAATAAAGTATCTTGAATTTTGCTAGCAATACTTTGGAAAAGCACACTTAAGTTAGATATGAACACATGCAAGTCAAAGAAAATAACTATATAATAGTACTTTGGAAATGAAGAAAAAAAATGTTTTTGTAGAAAGCATACAACTCTAAAAACTGCAAATAACAGTTTTACTGCTACATAAGGTTAGAATATAAAAAAAATCTGAACTAGAAATATAATTTTGAGATTTGTGTAAGTACATATTTTTAATGTAAGAAAGTCTTCTTATTGTCAGATACAAAAAATTTGCAGTCCAGTATTACGTTCTGACTTACTAAAAAAGTTTAACTCTTCGAGCTGTCCAATTTTATGTATTTGTTGTGAAATTAATTTTTAACAGTAGTCATGGATATAATTATGTATTTACTTTGAACAGATATGATTCTGAAATTATAATTGTTTTGTGCATTAACGCCAGCCTGTATCTTCAGGCTAAATTTTGTTACATCAATTCATTTTTTTGCAGACACTGACGGTTCCTTTCTTTACGTTTTGTTTCTGACTCGTATTTAATTTCTTTAAATTTTTCATATATACGTTATTACTATACAAATCATAAGTAACATATAAATTTCTAGAGTTACCTGTATATGCTCTAAGAAAACTCGCAGATCTGATGGAAGATGTTTAAGAAGCAATTTGTGATCGTAGTTTTCCTTCATTAATCCTACCTGTTGATAAAATTTCTTATTACCTTTCTTTCATAAAAAAAATTTTTATAAATAACGTTTTCTCTTACTTGTTCTTTATCTTTAATTTTCCTCCAAGGAAGTTGTCCATTCACAAACTCTACGAGCATATAAAAAAGAGACCACAAATCATCATGCCTTCCCATTTCTTTATTTCTGTGAGCATTAATAGATGCGTATCTGACAGTTCCCCGAAAGCCAGCAGCTGCACGTGCGGGTCTAACCTCGCCGGCTCCAGTCGTAAATTGTCGAGCTAGGCCAAAATCTAACATATAAACTAATCTGGTATAATGAGGATGGCGACCGATAGAAAAATTAGACTGAAAAAAATTAAAAAAGAAGAATGTTTTATTATACAGCTTTGTCATATTGAACATGCTAAGATTTGTTTTCCATGTCTGAGGAATTCTAAAAGTTTTAATTTTGCCTTCTCCAATATCCAGTAGCAATAAAGAAAATTTTTTATCAATCGAACGTATATTATTTTTTAAACGAAAAAATTAAAAAATTTTGTGATTTTTTGAACAATAGTAATTTTGCGTACATTTTTTACCACTGGGAGAATTTGACGAAAGTCTTCACCTAAAATTATTATTTTATTTCCGAAAGGTTTATTGCTACTAGATAAATCTTTTAAAGTCTTATCAACGATTTCTATCGCTATTTCCGGTATCATAGAAGCTTCATCCCAAATAATTACTTCTACATTACGTATTTTTTGTTTATTTGGCTGAAACTGGAAAAACGCACTTTCTATAGTGCTTAAGTCTAAAGGAAGTCTGAAAGTTCTGTGAGTGGTCATTACCTTTGGAAGCAGAATAGAAGCAATGTTCTTAGTATATATTCTAAAAGCACGTGAGGTCCTCATAAGTCACCTTATGTGTGTATATATATATATANCAAAGGTTTTTACATTTTTTAAATATAATGATAAGCACACTATGTGAATAGAGCATGTTGACAACAAATTAGCAGTTATAGTCCAGGAAATTAGAAAAAAATTGATAAAAATTCATGATTAAAAAAAAGTTGCAGGCTTTGTAAGATTTATAATTTTTTAGTATGAATCATGATTTTACATTTTGCCTTGTTACATCGTCTTTTCAGAACTAAATTCATTCGGTGCAGCAAAATTTACAAATGAAAAGTGAGTTTTTATGAAAAATGTTTTAATAATTTTCATAGTTCTTCTTTCTTTTTTCTTTCACTCCGTGTATATATATATATAATGTATACAACAATTAAAAAGCCATGTGTAAAGTGAGTGTCTTTATTTCAATAAAAAATTGTCGACGTTTTGCCCGTCAAGGAGGCCTCTTCAAGATAAATCAACAGCCCTATCTGAGTAAATACCTTAAGCACTCCTCACAATTCACAATCTGCACCCAAACTTTAACTAACATATTTACTCAGGCGGGGCTAATGATTTATGCTGAAGAGGCCTTCTTGAGGGGCGACAAGTTAACTATTTTTTATCGAAATAAAGATATTAACTCCACACATGGCTTTTTAATTGTTTTATTTATTGTTTTTATAATTTTATAAGAATACAAATGATAGTTGACGTTCTTTAAGTGCCTCAAGCACCCTTCAGTCTATCAAAGAAATTCTATCTTCAACGATGTAGTATAATATATACACAGTTATGTGCTCAATATTACAAACCACTTACTACTTATAAGAATGGATTGACAATATAACCAATTAAATGATGGCATATTACGCTGACACATGGGAATTATATAACAAAACAAAGATGAAATAAAAAAAAATCATGTCGATAAAAACGCTAAACTCTACCATCCATAGCTTACTTATGTATAACGCATACTCGATTAAAGTTTTTATGTATTGACATAATGAACATTATATAGTACTGTGAAAGTTCATTCTAAGTCTGATTTTGTGTATTTTGGTACAAAATAAGAGTTATTGTACAAAATAATATGTAATTAATTTAGAAAACTCTCTCTCAATCTAAAATTTCTTAATGTCTAAAATTTTTTTTTACTTTAAAAGAATGTTCTGTATTAATGCAGTGACAAGCAGTAACGATGTTTTTATCCCCATTTTTAATTTTTTTTAATATTCTCTATCTTTTTTTGTTTTTAGTTTTCTTGACGTTTGTTCCACATAACCCACTTTACGATTATTACACGTGATAACATAAACTACTTCTTTTTTATTGCCTTTTCTTTACCATGTCCTTTCTAAGCCTTACAATGCAAATTAGTTTATTTTTAGATTATAAAATTAGAGAAAACCCATAAATATGCAAACGATTTTTTATGAAACAGTAGAAAATTTTGTGGAGTAGAATAACAATTTTTGGTGTTTTACAACTTAATTCTTAGTATAAAATATTATCAGATTTATAAACTCTATTCAGAATAGACTTTGCATCAGGACCCTTAACTATTACCAAAAAACAGGAGTAAGTAACAACGTGATGAGTTTCATGACTTACAATAGTTGCAGGGACGTCAATCTTTTAAGGTTAATAGTTGTGCAATAGCTAGGGTGTTTGATATTATGGAAGTCCATGAAAAATATTTTACAGCAAGAATCGTTGTTTCTAGTATAGGTTTTCCTCCATATATTTTTAACATAGCTTTATTTAGATTATTAATTGGATATTCCAGGATACAAGCATACTTAATTCCTTCTTGCTGGAATGTAATTGGTTTAAGTTTTATTTCTTAAAAACAGTTTTAAGATAATAAATCCACTTGCAAATAGTCCAGTTCCTGATCATTACAAATTAATTTTACTTCATGTAGTATCATTATGTACCAATCTTCCACGGAACTCAATAATTGAAGGTGTTTCTGAGAATTGGCTTTTCTACAAAATGTAGATATTTGTAGAAAATCAGAATTTCAATTCTAAGATGGTATTATATTTCTTTTTAGCTCCACATTCTGTGAGTTTTAATAAAAAAATTACAGACAACTGAAAATGTTGTTTTATGATTGGTTATCCGTCAATTAATTTGTCATCAAATTTACTATAAAATAGAAACTTTGGCAAATCCATTATCTATTGTTAATAACGCGTTAATGGTGAGAAAGTTAAAAAAAACATTTTGTACGGAAAAACTTTGGATCGACGTAAAAAAACCATTACGTTTATTTGAACATCACTGAAAAAAAATATAGGTATTAAGTTACATAACAAAAAGCTATTTGTAAAATTGCAACATAATTGTTAGTTTTTTGGTAATGATTTTTTTTAAGTGAGTATTATTACAAACCTCACAATCGATTTATTGACATTTTACTTTGGTCAAACCATTGTATTGAATGTTAGTAATGATAACAAACAAAACAAATGGATTTTTGTGAATTCTAACATTTTTCAAGAAAAAATTTTATTTCGCAACTTAAACAAGTTGGAAATATTTCAGTCAATTTTAGATGTTCTTTTCTTACTATTCGTCATTGCGTTTATCGTAAAAAAATACATGTATAAAAAAAGGATGCTCTATCTTATTTTTAAGCCGAGATACAAGAAATTGCCCTTTTTGCAATAACAGACTGATAATTAAATTTTTCATTGCAAAAAAATTTGTGTATCATCTTTATGTACCTCTGCATCATACTGCCAGATCACTTAATCAGTAGCGTTAAAAAACAAGCTAAGGAAAATTAAGAATTTCATTGTAATAGCCAGCAGTAGTTCAGCGCTCCCATCTGTACGCTTCTTTTGCGACTAATTGGCCAACCGGTTGCAGGGCCTATAGGAAAAACCGCAGGCAATGACTGGTGTTTAAATTAAAATAAGTTGTTGTACGCAACTTCATTGTATAGCAGAAAAAAATTGATCCTGTGAAATTGAAAATTTTTATACTTCTAATGCAGTGGGCACTTAAGAGTAGACTTAAAACTTTTTTCTTCGCACATATTTGAAAAATTATTTTATTACGATTAAATAGAGCCTGGAATAATATAACTTGCTCAAAATTGTGTAAATGATTGATGAAGAAGACTGTATATACAATGACTGTATACTACAATGTATCTGAAGTACCTTGAAAGCCAGACAAAATATTGAACAGAATGGACGACAAAACTGATATTAATGTGACGTAAAAGTTTGTAGACAGAATATAGTTATAGTGAAAGTAATTTATTAAAAAAAACTAAATTTTAATGTATCAGAAAAGCTAAGAATTAAAATAGTTATTAATAAACAGACCTCGAATTTTCTTTGAAAGTTTTAAAAGTTTTGAAAATTTTCACGAGAAAATATTTTTTTTTTTAACTTTTGTTTTTTTCTCTATTACAAATCCCACTATGGTCATTATTTTCGTGATGAAAAAAAATGATGTAGATAGAATTCGTTAATAGGTGGCGGATTCACATTTAATGTAGTTTTGCAAAGGTTTTTACATTTTTTAAATATAATGATAAGCACACTATGTGAATAGAGCATGTTGACAACAAATTAGCAGTTATAGTCCAGGAAATTAGAAAAAAATTGATAAAAATTCATGATTAAAAAAAAGTTGCAGGCTTTGTAAGATTTATAATTTTTTAGTATGAATCATGATTTTACATTTTGCCTTGTTACATCGTCTTTTCAGAACTAAATTCATTCGGTGCAGCAAAATTTACAAATGAAAAGTGAGTTTTTATGAAAAATGTTTTAATAATTTTCATAGTTCTTCTTTCTNTGAATTCTAACATTTTTCAAGAAAAAATTTTATTTCGCAACTTAAACAAGTTGGAAATATTTCAGTCAATTTTAGATGTTCTTTTCTTACTATTCGTCATTGCGTTTATCGTAAAAAAATACATGTATAAAAAAAGGATGCTCTATCTTATTTTTAAGCCGAGATACAAGAAATTGCCCTTTTTGCAATAACAGACTGATAATTAAATTTTTCATTGCAAAAAAATTTGTGTATCATCTTTATGTACCTCTGCATCATACTGCCAGATCACTTAATCAGTAGCGTTAAAAAACAAGCTAAGGAAAATTAAGAATTTCATTGTAATAGCCAGCAGTAGTTCAGCGCTCCCATCTGTACGCTTCTTTTGCGACTAATTGGCCAACCGGTTGCAGGGCCTATAGGAAAAACCGCAGGCAATGACTGGTGTTTAAATTAAAATAAGTTGTTGTACGCAACTTCATTGTATAGCAGAAAAAAATTGATCCTGTGAAATTGAAAATTTTTATACTTCTAATGCAGTGGGCACTTAAGAGTAGACTTAAAACTTTTTTCTTCGCACATATTTGAAAAATTATTTTATTACGATTAAATAGAGCCTGGAATAATATAACTTGCTCAAAATTGTGTAAATGATTGATGAAGAAG